CCCCCCCCCAAAATTGAACTAACATAATATCAGTATTTATTGATTTCTTTTCTAATTTTATGAACTGCAAATTTAATTTATTTGATCCATTAGAGCAAGGGATAGAGATTTTAAATTACTACTATTCTTGTTTAAGTAAGTTGTTTATATTTTTATTCATTTCTATCTGGCATGAAGTTATTTCGAACAAATCTGCATGAATCGATAGAAAAAGATAAATACTTAATAGCATGCCACATTTTAGCTCAGAATAAATATTATTTTCATTTTAAGATAAAAAATTTGATATTCACATAATTCAACTAAAAATAAATAATCTTTTATATCTGAAAATTGTTTCGACCCAATTAGTATGAATCGATTAGAAAGACAAAACTCTTAATGACATGCCACATTTGACTCAAAATAAACATCATTTTCGTTCCAAAATAGGAAATTTGATTTCGCTTACACAACTCGACTAATAATAAAAATATTCTATATTTTCATTCTATTTACATACCTGCAAAGATCATATATAAATACGCTTTAGTGAAAGCTAAAAGTTTGATATAGTTTATAATTTTGTTGATGTAAATCTAATCACCCAAATAAAAAATGATTTGATATGGTCCATTAGTAACAAATAATCATCTAATAAAACTATAGGAAAAGTCACAAATAGACTTACCAACAATTAGTTATTAAGTCATGCTATTAAAAATAGCCAAAAAGTTACCAATGATATACAACATGCAAAAAACCTAGAAAAAAAGAATTTTTAATGGGTATAATTGAAATTCATTGAAAATACATAAGCAAAACAATATATAAAGTTTGAGAGAGATTGGAGGTATTTCGACTAGCTTGAAATTAAAGTTTATTATTAATGATATATAACATTCGAAAAACCTAGGCAAAAAATATTTTTATAGATGGGTTTGGTTGAAATTCGTTGAAACCACATAGATAACGCAATATATAACATTTGAGAAAAATAGAGGTAATTTGGACTAGGTTGGAGTCAAAATTCATAGTTTAAATCGAGGTAAAAATTTCAATGCGATATGTATGTAACATGTATCTCACGCATACATATACATGGATATATAGAGATACACAAGTAATATATTGGAAATGCAAAATGAGATACACATATCATCTTCTTCCATATTTATCATCTACTTTGAATTTGGCTCAAATTTCAATTCAAACCACCTCAAATGTCAAGTAAATTGTCCCAAAATTTAGATTCAAACTCCTTGATATTCAATTGTAACGACCTGACCGATCATTTTGAGCTTTAGCACTTCGTTCAGCGGTTTGAGACCTTGAGTAGCTTCATATTATGCATGATGACTTGCATATATAGTTGGTTTTGATTTTCGAGAGGTTCGGATTGATTTGGGAGAGTAATTCTAAATTTAGAAGCTTTAAGTTGGAAGAGTTGGTCAAGGTTTGACTTTTGAGTAAACGACCTCGGGATTAAGATTCGATGGTTTCACTAGATTCGTATGGTAATTTTGGACTTGGATGTATGTTCGGATTTGAATTTGGATGTTCCTAGAAGGTTTTGGCTCTATTTGTCGAAAGTTGGCAATTTGAAGAATTTGAGAGTTCGCAAGTTTGATGGGGAGTTAATTTTTCGGCATCAGATTCGAATTTTTGTTCCGAAGTTGAAATAGATTCGTTTTGTCAATAGAAACTTGTGTGCAATGTTTGGTTGGAATCCAGATTGGTTAGGCTTGAATCAAATGATTGGTTGCAAGCCAGGAGTTCATGAAGTTAAGAGAATGATCTTGACCATCAATTCTTGATTTTGATGTTAATTATGGTGTTTTGAGCCTTTGGATAAGTTTGGATAATGTATTTGAACTTGTTGGTATAATTGGAAGGGGTTCCCCAGGGTTCGGGTGAATTTGGGGTGATTTCTAGGCCTTTTTTTATTGAGATTGTAGTTTCGATTTTCTGGTGCATCTGTTAAGCTACGCGATTGCGGAAAGACGAGCACGTTCGTGGAGGATTCTTGGGCCGCTGGTGGTTTATACAATGCATTCACGATGGAGGGACCACATTAGGAGAGAGATATGGTAGCTTCCGTTCGCGTATTAGGCATGCGTTCGCAATGTACTGGGGGAGGTTGGTCAATAGGAGGTCGCATTCGCATCTCGGATTTTGCATTCGCGAAGTAGTGATGCCAATTGGCCTACGTGTTCGCGTGCTATGTGATGCGTTTGCGAAGCAACGTCTGAGGCAAGATGATTTTTGTGAATCTGCCGCGATCGCGATATGCACTAGTGGGCAAACTATTTAAGTTGTCAATTTTGGGAGTTTGCCCATTAAATCATATTTTGAGCTCTAGACTTCGAGACGAGGAGAAGTTAAAGAGAAATTTCACTACTACATTGGAGGTACGTAATTTTCACTTGGATTTGGCTTTATGTGTTGATTACGCATGGATGTCTATACCTAAAATTTTAAATTTTGAAAGAAAATTTTGGGGTTTTGTATATATTTTAAGAGAGTATATTTTGGGAATTAGAGTATCGATTTGGACTCGATTTTGAAAATTAATTATATATTTGGACTCGTGGGTCATCAGATTTTGGTATTGGTTCGAATTCCGGGCACGTGTGCCCGAGTTAACTTTTATTGACTTTTGATAATTTCTTCGAAAAATCAAAACTTTATGTATTGGGATTGCTTCCTATGGCATTGTTGACTTCCTTGGATGATACATGGCTTGGATCTGTGCGATTAGAGGGCTGGATCGAGGTTTTTGACGCGATTCGAGTTTGAAGACTAGACGGATGAGGTAAATATTTTGCCTAAGCTTGGTTTGAGGGTATTTTTTCCATTGGTTGTGATATTTGTTATGTATTGGGGTGACATATATGCAAGGTGATGAGCGTATATACGTGTACCGTGGTTATTCATGATCCCGATAGTTCTTAGGCTATTATATGCCTTATTTTGCTATCATGCTTATTTGATATCGTATTTTCTTTACTTGTATGACTATATGTGCTATTATTCATGCTAGAATTTATGTATAGGATATTTACTTATTTGTTGAGGCATGATAGATTTATTTTTGCTATGTTGAGCTATTTATCTTAGTCGTGGTCATACTTTTCAACCATAATATTATATTCGCTTGTTATATCACTATCTTTGCATACTTCATACATGTTATCTACATATTGCTAGCGTTCTTACTTGTGTAACATAGTTTTGAGTGGATTTGTGGCACATTGGCGTAATTCGTGCGGTATATTGGTTATGATATTGTGAGATGTTGTCATATTAAGATATGAGCAGATTGATGATTGAACTGGGCCATAGAGCCGTATTGATATTGATATTAAGATGACACATACGTCAGGACCCATATTGGGCTGAGTGATATTGATAGTGAGGTGACGCGTACGCCGGGACATTTGGGTTGTGTCATGATGATCGTTGAATTTTGATTCAATTAGCGGTTGGGCTAGGATCCGTCCCTCCGAAGTCAGGTGATAACCCGTGCAACTTTGGGCCCTATGAGTGCAGACATACGTTATGTGTTTGGAGAGGGACTTATGTCAGACACCCGTACAATATTGAGAGTATGTATATGTGTGGGCGTGAGGATCCATGGGTATCTTTTCAGGCACCGTGAGAGTGCTGAGACTATGATTGATGGGTATTGTGTGCCAGGAACTTTTAATGTGATGAGATTGTGTATATTTGATATTTAAATTATGATTCTTCATTAATTTGGCATATATAACTGACATGTAAGCATAGAGTTATATTATTTTTCATGCTAATTGATATTTGATGTCTCTACTTGATGTTTAGAGCTTGATATTACAATTTTTATCTTGTTAAATACTTTTCTAAGTGAATTCTATGGAAGTTAATGCCCTGACTGTTATATCTGAAAGCATGTCTAGTTCTCCTCCTGTTGTGTAAAGTTGAGTCTGTTATTAATTAAGCTGCTTTTCTTTATGTGCTATTATTCTACTGTTATTGATATTGTTGGTTGTGTAAAGTGAGCATCGGACATTGCCAAGCTTGTCATTGCTTTCAGCCCAAGGTTAGGCTTGCTACTTATTGAGTATATGGGGTCGGTTCTACTTATACTAGACTGTGCACTTCATGTGCACATCCGGGTATTTGTTGCTGGCTTGCCTAGTAAACAGTGTTAGGTACCATCACGACTCCGGTGGGATTTTAGATCGTGACACCAATCTACTCCAATAATACACACACTCAAACCAAATTTCAATTTTAAAAACTCAAATTTTCAAATTCAAGCTCAAGTGAGTTTTAAAAGATTTCAATAGAGTCCAAACCCCAACTAACGATTGTGATGATGCATCAAAGGGTAGAGAAATAAAATATATACACGACCTTTTCTTTGTATACACCATGAAATTAGACAATATCCTAACGCAATGCATACAATTCCCTAAAATTTGACACCAAATTAGATAATTAATAATACTAATAACCTTTAGATTATTTTTAATCTAATCTATATATATTCATAAAGGAGGGTCAATGAGTGTTGACATGGCACCTTTTAGAGATTAGGATTTCTATTTTATTTTTCTTAAATTTTTGCCTTTTTCTTTATTAAGTACTCTATTAAAATCTAAAAAGTCACTTCTAAAGGTTACTTAATC